AGGAAGCACACCGCATACTTCCCGTCCTGAGAAGGACCGAGAAGTTCCAGAATCTGGGTTGTGACTCCCAGCTGCTGGCAATGTTGAGGCTGGTTGTGGTAGTCTTCATTGTCAGTAGTAGTGTGCAACTGTCACGAGTGAAACTGTTAAAAATACTCACAGGGCAGACATGGAGGGGCATTCAGGTCCCTCACCCTCTTTCTGAGTGCATCGAGACACATCCTGAACCACTGCCGGTTGTCTTGAGCCAGGCTGAGTGTGTGGCAAGCTGCCTGGGTGGACCAGAAGACCAGCCTAAAATCCTCCCAGCGATTGAGAGCCAGCCGGACTCTATCATGGCGACCGTGAATACCCGCAATAAAGTCCCAGAGTTCCTCGATGGGGATAAGGGGGATCTTGGTGGGGGGCACTAGAAAGTATAAAACTTTGCTGGGGATGGACTCCGTGTCATCATCAGCGCCCACTACTGAGCCCGAAACCCCCTCCAGGTGGCTGTCCTTGGCCAGCTGCAGTGAGAGTTGCGGGTCACCGGCAGGAACGTCCTCGATGCACTCCATCGAGGCCTGTTCTGGGTCTCGGTGGAGACCTGAGGTCCTGCTCCTCTCCCGACACTGGGATGTCCGGCTCCTCGGGGAAAATGCCTTCGCCGAGAGCTGAGGTGTCCTGGAAAACAGTTAGGGAGGGAGGAGTGAGGAAAAACGTTCCTCCTCTCCACCACCCAATGACATTCGCCAACCATGGAGGAAACTGATGACCAGGATACACGAACACTAGCCAGCAGTAAAAAGATATGACCAATATTCACTTGCCTTGATACACACAGTCAATGAAGGCCATCAGTTCGTCTGGGACAAAGTGATTATACTGGGACAAGCGAACAACAGACATGCAAGGGAATTTCTGGAGGCCTGGTTCACAACATGGGATTCCATTAACAAACACGTATAAATAGGCCCTGTGTACAGACCACTGCTGAAGAAAACAGAACTGGAAGGGACAAGACCCGCCACACCAGAGGATCATATAAATTCGGAACAGAGCAGAACACCAACACTTCGATTAGAGGTCGTGCTGATGATATTGCCCAGAATGGTAATGAAACATCTGCACACCATGGAACAACTGGCTCGGCGAGCGAACAAACAACCGCAAACACCATGAATGTTTAAAATCTGAAACACGATGAGAAAATGTTGGAGATGCCCAATGGCGTCAATAGATTCAGTGGAGACGGAAATTGAGTTACGTTTCAGATCTGTGTGCAAGTGAGAAGGGCCAGGTTGTGGATGTGGGGCGGAAGTGGGAAGATGAACAAAACAGAATGTCTGTGGTAGGGTGGGAGGCTGGAGAAATTAAGTGATGAAAGGGTTCATGTTGTGAAACCAATGGGAGCAGTCAAAACACAAAAGATGTGTTTTGCATGAGGTGTGAATAGAAACCTCCAACGTAGGGAAAATCATAGAAACATGAGAACAGAAAATAAAGTCAGAGGGAAACGCCAAATAAAATGGGACAAATCAAATTGCACACTTCTTGAACTTCAACTTCCCAAAGGCTGAAAATTGCCTTCTGTTAGTCCCCAGTTCAGATGAATAGTTCTGGTCGCCACATTACCAAAAGGATGTGGATGCTTTGAAGAGGGTGCAGAGGAGGTTCACCAGGATGTTGCCTGGTATGTAGGGCACCTGCTATGAAGAGAGGTTGAGTAGATTAGGATTATTTACATTAGAAAAATGGAGGTTGAGGGGGGACCTGATTGAGGTCTACAAAATCATGAGAGGTATAGACAGGGTGGATAACAAGAAGCTTTTTCCCAGAGTGGGGGACTTAATTACTAGGGGTCACGATTTCAAGGTGAGAAGGGAAATGTTTAAGGGAGATATGCGTAGAAAGTTCTTTATGTAGAGGGTGGTTGGTGCCTGGAACGCGTTGCCAGCGGAGATGGTAGAGACGGGCATGATAGCGTCATTTAAGATGTATCTAGACAGTTACATGAATGGGCAGGGAGCAGTGGGATATAGATCCTTGGAAAATAGGCGACAGGTTTAGATAGAGGATCTGGATCGGCGCAGGCTTGGAGGGCCGAAGGGCCTGTTCTTGTGCTGTAATTTTCTTTGTTATTTCTTTGTTCTTTGGATGGTCACAGACTTGCTTATTTACAGACTTTACTTATTCCCTCTCCAGGAGTACATCTCAGGTCAGGAGGTTTCTTTCCCCAACACCCCCACTCCCCTCCATGGCTACACAGACATTGACACGAGACTGTCCCACTTCTGGGCATCGCTGGGTAAAGAGTTAGGAAGCTGCCAGCTGGTAGGTCATAAGTTTCTACTCATCCAGTACTGGACATGGAGGTGCAGGTGTTGGACTGGGGCGGACAAGGTCAGAAATCACATGACACCGGGTTATCGTCCAACAGGTTTATTTGAAAACACAAGCTTTCAGAGCTTCACTCCTTCTTCAGGTGTTAGTGAGAGAGATAATATCAGAAACAGAATTTATAAGTAAAAGATCAAAGAGTCACACCACTGATGAGGATGTATTAAACAAACCTAAGGTGCTGTTAAATCTTTAATCAATTAGAAGATTTAAATTGATTAAGATGTATAAGTAAATACCCAAATTCCTTTCAAGTCACTGTCCTGAGAGAACTAAAGGTTTTATCAGTGTAAAAAAGAGATGACATTTTAGGCCAGACAATACATATTAGGTGTGAGGCCTCATTTACAATCTGTTTCTGTTTTAGTTTGGAATCAGACTGGTTTTATTTCTAAAGTAGGAATTTATAAATGCCACATTGACTGACCAACTATAAATTGTGTGCTCTTTGAACAAAAATGGAATGTATTTTCAAATACAAATTCGCCCCATTGATGAACGTGTGTGCGTGTAAGTGGGAGGGGGAGAGAGAAAGTGAGTGTGTATGTGTGTGTGTCTGTGTGGGAGAGGGAGAGAGAGAGTCAGCATGTGTGTGTGAGAGAGAAAGAGTGTGTGCGTGTGCAGGAGAGGGAGTATCTGTCTATGCGTGAGAGAATGTCTGTGTGTGCTGGAGGGACAGAGAGTGTCTAAGGTTTTAGAGTAGATATGTAGCTCGGGTTGTCGTTGGTTCGCTCGCCGAGCTGGTTCGTTGTTTCGCAGACGTTTCATTACACTGCTGGGTAACGTCATCAGTGCAGCCCCCGATGAAGCGCTGTTGTGTTTTTCCGCCTGCCATTTATTAAGAAAGCCATCAACAAACACTTAGAGCTAGACCCCATAAACACTCCATTGCGAAGGAAAACCGGAAGCAAGGTAATCCACCTTAATGGACACCCGGGTTTAAATAACAGGCAGGAAAACACAACAGCGCTTCATCGGAGGCTGCACTGATGACGTTACCCAGCAGGGGAATGAAACGGCTGTGAACGAACGAACCAGCTCGGCGAGCCAGCCAACCACAAGAGACAGAGAGTGTGTGTGTGTGTGCGAGTTGGGGAGAGAGAAAAAGTCCAAAGACGTGCAGGTTAGCTGGAATGGCTATGCTAAATTGCCCATAGTGTCTAGGGTGGGAAATGCAGGGGTGGGTCTGGGTATGATGATGGTGGAGAATCCGAGACAACAAGGTGCAGGGCTGGATGAACAC